TAAATGTTTGCTATGTTAGGGAAATCATTTAAGACAAGTACTGGACAACTTATCTGGATATTGCTTGTTACCCTTTTTAAATATTAGGAAGACAATATTCTGTTTCTATGCAGCAGGAAATAAAACACTCACCTAAGTAATTTGCATATGCAATTTTGCCAAATTGTTGTTCACTAGTTGGGAAATTGTTTGTATAATTGTGGGGAAAACATATCCTTCTCTGGGGCCTTGACAGCTGAAAGAGACTCAGTGAAATCTTTAATCTCACCAATGGTAATTGAAGCCCATGAAATAGATTTATTTTGACCATAAGGAGCAAATATGAAAGCTCTTTGAAAATTGAAAAGTGCTATGCAAATGTAAGAGGTTAATATTATTATTATTATTATCAATAATAAATTGTGACAAGAAATCAAAGATTACTGGAAAGATATTACTGTAATCATTCTACTAATACATTGCAGGTATCTGCATCTATTAAGGATTAGAGATTTAAGGTAGAGCCTTGCACTCAGTAGGCACTTAATAAATGTGTGGTAAATGGATTTATTGATAAATCAAAGTAGGCCAGATGATAAAAGGCAGTATGGTGGTAACAGGAAGAATACTTGATGGGAAGAAGGATCTAGAAAGCATAGGTTTGAGTCCCAGCTTGGACACTTCCTCTCTCTGGACCTCTATTATTCTCATTTGTTAATGAGGGCCTTTCACTAGTTGATCTCTAAAGGCATTTCTAGTGCAATAAATCTATGAATATATAATTTTTCCCAACATAACTAGACATAATACTTACTGCTCTTGTTTGACATTTTTTGGTATTTTTGGTATTTTTTTTTTCATTTGTTTCAGGAGCACCTTGTAAAAGGAGCATGGAGACAAGAGAAGATTCATAGAAACTCCCCATGTCCCCTTCCTAAGCCAGAACCAATTAACTATTGTTATTTATTTGTCTGAAATCGTTCATCAAGGGTTTTTTGTTGTTGTGGTTGATTGACATTCATTATCATTAAATCATCTTTTAAAGGGAGCTTTAGCTAAACTTGAAGAATAATAAAGATAGACATTCACACAAGGCTTCAAAATTTGCAAAGCTCTTTCCAGACATCATTTCATCTGAGCCCCCTATCAATTCAGTAAGGCAGATACTCTAGATATTATTATCCCTATGTGATAGATGAGTAAAATGAGGCTGAGAGAATTAAAGTGACTTGCTGATGGTAGTGTACCCAGTACTGTAAATGCCAGAGGACGACGAGCACAAGCATTTACTAGGCACCTACTATGTGCTAGGCACTGTGCTAAGTGCTTTACAAGTATTATCTCATTTGATCCTCATAAAGACTTGGTGAAGTAGTGCTATTAATATCCCAATTTTATATATGAGGGAACTAAGAACTTAAGTGACTTGTGCAGGGTCACACAGCTAGGAAGTATCTGAGGCAGGATTTGAATTCAGGTCTTCCTGACTCTAGACCTAGCACAGGATTTGCAGCCAAACTTTCCTGATTCAAACCCCAGCACTACTGTGACCTATTCTATTTGGGAAATTAGGCCTAGCAGTTACTGGAGGTGTGCAAAGATGTGTCAAAAAGCCAATTGGGGTGGATTATGGCAATCTATTCTATCATGTGATTGATGTTTGGTAAAATAATCACATATGTCTGTCACCCCAATTTTCTAAGGATAAAAATGGTACATTTTGGCACTGATACTGCCATTATACCTTGTCTCTATTCAAAAGCTAGGGAAAATACTTTAGGCAACGAACGAGTTACAATTTTAAAGAATTTTTGAAGAAGGGCGTGAAGAGGATGAGAAAGATATTATCAGGTTTATATTATAATTGGAAAGGTAAATCTCCCAGAGGCACATTTTAGTTGAAATATTATAGAGATCAAAATGAATATTGCTGTTACCAAGCATTGTATCCTGGGAAGTAGGTGTGGCCCTGAGTAGGAGTGTAACACAGCTGTCTATTACAAGATTTATCTATATACACATCATTAATGGAAATAAGATTTCTCCACATTATGAGAATCTCTGACAGTAAATGAAACTAAACTGTGATGAGGGCGTGACCAGGGCCTCAAACTCAGCAAAAGAAGGCCATTCTTTGAACCAAAAATGATTTTTTTGTGAGTGACACGGACAGTCCTCAAATTAGTATTGGTTATGTTACAAAAGTTCACTTGAAAAGTCTCCTCATCTGTAAAATGAGGAAGTCTGGTCTCTAAGGTTCCTCCAACCTTTAAGGATCTGTGTCAGTCATTAAGCATTTTCTGAAAAGTTATCCATGTTTTTGTTCTCTTTGGTAGCTTATTTAATCCATAGTGAACTTGTGTTATAATACAAAACCTTGTTGTTGTTCAATTGTGTCAAACTCTTTGTGACCCCATTTGTTTTTGTTTTTGTTTGTTTTTGTTTTTGGGAAAGATACTAGAGTGTCTTGCCATTTCCTTCTCCAGCTCATTTTACAGATAAGGAAATTGAGGCAAACAGGGTTGCCCAGTCACCTAGCTAGTGACTCTAGAGGTTAGAGCTGAGGAAAGGAAAGTGGCAGTAGGCTTCTTTTTCCTTCTCTAGGAATCTCTAATGCTACGCCTGCAGGGATAGTGAAACTTGGAGGCTGTAGCTGGCCTTGGAGTCAGCAGACCTAGGTTAGAATCCCTGGTCTAATACCAACTCCGGGATCTTAGTCAAATCATTTCTATCTATCTGACCCCTAATTTCTTCACCTTAATAATATGGATAATACCTGCATTTGAGGGTCACAGTAATGAAAGGGCTTTGTAGCATTATACAAATTTTAGTTGTTATTCTTAGACCTTGTTGACTTATATGGATTGAGATAAGAAATTAGAATGAGGTTATCCCAAGCAGCTGCTGTGGGAGCTGTGAAGTCTTGGATTTGAAGTCCAAGGACCTGGGTTCAATCCCAGCTCTGTCACTTACTACCCATGCAACCTTGAGCAAGTCTCTTAACTTATCTTGGTTTCCCCTTTCTCATTAGTAAAATGGGGAGGCCACACTAGACAGCTTCTAAGGTCCATTCCAGATCTAAATTTATCATCATCTGAAAGGGAAAAGGGAGAGGGGTAAGAAGGAAATCCCAAGTGACAGCAACAGGGAGGGAAAGGCAGTCCCTGCAGCCACTGTCTGTTTCTTGTGGCCGTTTATACTTTTGTAAGGTGGCCTGCCTATGATTATAGCTTATATATTATATTCTGAAGGTTTAAAGGGTTTTGTGTATAATTCTTCTGTTTTATGATTATCAGTATCCATTGGATGACTGTGAGAAGAGATATATGTAATGCAATCATGTGGAAATGCATCTTCTGTTTTTAATTGGTGCTAGCTGGAACTCTTCTGAGCATGTCTCCCTGTTAGCCTATGAGAACTAGGTTCTCATAGGGGCAAAAGAAAAGCAGACCCTCTCATTTCCTCCCCCTGAAAAAACTAATTGAAGACACATTATGTAAAAACTCTTTTTTAAAAAGAGGCAACAAAATCCTGTATTTTGTCTTTCTGAGTCCCCGTTTTCTGTGGCTTTGGCAGCCTTTGACTTGTTTTTGTGGCAAATTCTGATTGTATGCTGGCTCAGTTGTGCATTTAATGCTTACCCTTCCTCAGGATACATACTGTTGTGTTTTTATGAACAATTCTGCCTCATGAACAAAGGAAAGAGGAACTGTAAGAGAGGGATATTTCCATTGTGGGAAAGACCTAAGACACCTTCCCTTGTTGCCTGGTGGCAATGGCATGACTGCAACTAGTAGCTAGGTGAAAAAAGAAATCTTTTCACTCTGGCTTCATCCTTAAAATTTAGCTTTCTGTCCCCAGTTCAGTTGGCTGTAAAATAGGGATAGTGGTCATCAAGGGTAATGGTGGAATACCAGAGTTTTATCCAGGGTAGGCTGTCTAGGATATCACTCCAGGTCACCATCTTGGGAAGTGCTCATCTTGCCTTCCTCTTTTTCTCTCGTTTTGTGCTCTTCCTTGGATTTTGTGCAGGGAGGTGAACCCTCTCCACTCCTTAGACAACCACCTTGGAGGGTCCCTGGAGACCCCTCTCCTGGGGCCTACCTTCCTCTAATGCTGTGCTCTACTATTTACTGCCTCTTCTGGGAGTTGAGAAATCAGGCACAAGAAATCATAAGCCATGGGTATAGGGGCTCAGCCAGACTTTCTGAATGACTGGCCTCCCACTCTCCTGGTATGACTACACCCATTGTCCCTCCTCACCTGAATTGTGGACTACCCATTTAAAACTTAACATGAAGAGTTATTTCTAAGAAGATGCTAAGAACATGATTCTAATGAAATGATGATTGGTGAGTTTAGTTCTTTCATGGTCAAAGATGACATGCCTAACTGTGGCTAGCCATTGTTTGGAGATCAACAACTCTATGGGTAGATCAACACAAATCTATTTCTACTCCTGGGAAGATGTCTGAGGGTGGGTGAATTGTTCTTTGTATAGAACTCATCATCATCATATGTGAAAGGCTCCTAAATGGAGCAGGTTTACCACCATTATAGGAAAAGAAAGGATGCATAGTAGAAGGGAATGGGCAAAACAAAGCTTTCTGCCAGCAAAGTGGAAGAGATTCCTGAATGGATTAATGGGGGAGTTTGCTTAATCTTCTTTCTTGAAGATATTTTTCAGACAGGTGTGACTCACGAGTAGTCTCTCTTGGAGTCCAGGAGATAGGTTAGGTAATCCATGTGGTTGCTTTAGGCTTATAACACTACTAAGTGTGCAAAGAAATGCTGAGGAGATAACATATTTTTTAATCTTTGTTTTATAGTGCTTAATGCTGGGATTCCTACATGCTGTAACTTGCTGAGCAATACTAAGCAGATTAGTTAATTTCTTAATGACTCAGGTTTTTCATGCAAAATAGAAATGATAATTCAAGAGAAAAATACAATGAATCATTTTTAACAAAAATAAATGCTATTAATAATTCATTGGACAGATAGATAATTCATGCATATACCTCATGGAAATGGCATCCACACTTTCCTTGCAGAAATTCCTTGTAGCGTCCCATGGTTATGCTAAAAGTATCAACCACTTCATAGCCATATCTTTTTGCAGAATCTAATATAATCCAATTTTCTTTCCATAAATCCTGTACTTCATTCTGAATTGCAAAGGAAAAAAACACAAGAATTGTCAGTGGTAGAGGATGGTTACAGTTATTTGTCTCCAACAGACTGAAATCATGTAATTATTATGACTTTTCTAAAGGAAAGAAATGGCAAGTGAGATTGAAAATTAATTTTGCAACATATTTCTTATCTAAAAATTCATCTAGAGAAAATATTTTTATGATAAAGACACCTAAATATAGAAATATTTTTCTTTACTTGTTTTTCTCCTCTCCACTTTAAGTCATTTATTTATTCAATAAACATTTATTGAGTGTCTTACTGTGTGCAAAACAGATTGCTAGTCACTTTGAATGACATAAAAAATTAATGATAGAGTCTTTACCATCAAGAACAAAGAATTTTAGATTTAGAAAGGAATTCTATCACTGGATTATAGTTAATTTCTCCTAATGAAATATAGCAGATAAAAAAGGTAGTGGAATAGTGTTGAATATTAAGAAATATATTCACTTGAAGGAAACCAGGAAAAAAAAAGAGTGGAAGCATGGTAGTAAACATTTAGAGCAGGATCAATAGTAGGAGAAACAGTAATATTATTAGGTGTACAAATTATAGACCACCTGGGCAGAAGGAAGAAATAGGAGAGGAATTTGGGAAACAGATCACAAAAAGAAAAGGAATCATAGTGAATTAATGATGAAGCCCTTCAATTATCTAGAAACCTATTAGAGTTCACTATTTCTTGGTTAAAAGCAGCTAATTTTTAACTTGCCTTACCAATAATTTAATTTTATTAACTGTGAAGGAAGCAACTAGAAGAACTTATGCTGGACCTTATTTTGGACAATAAGGGAGCTGAAATAGAAGTGAAAGTCCCCTTGGGAGAAGAGGGACAAATGATTACTACAATTTAGACTGTGATAGAGAAGAAAAAGGAAATTTGAGAAGAGTCTGATACACATATTAGATTTTAGGAGACCATATTTCAAAGATATATAGGGAAAAAATAGACCTATCCTAAAATTCTAGAGAAAAAGTCAATCCAAGAAGGATGAAAAGATCTTAAGATTTGAAGACACAAACAAAAAATGATTTTGATGAGGAAAAAAGGGGATTTAAAGTGACCAATATGGATGCACTGGGAATTTGTTAATAAACTTGGATTTTTAAAATCTATGTAAAGAAGATGGAACTAAGGGTAGAAGATAGAGGAGAAGATATTATGGTGTAACAGATGGAGGGCTGGCTTTGACATTAGAAAGACTTAAATTTCAAGTCCTTCTTGACACATGTTGGCTGTGTGACAATGGGCAAATGATTTAATATCTCAGTATCTCAGGAAAAGTTCTAAGATGTCAAGATACATAGGATTTGATGATCTGCATCTGCCAACCCAATGGTACAGAGGGAGCTTCCACACTGGGAATTGATCCTATGAAAATAATATCAGTAGAGTGAAATCTTAGAATGAGTTGACTATAGCAACAAAGGCTAAATATATATAAAAAAAGACGTCTTTTAAGGCTGTGTTGCTCAGATTGGTCGGGATGATGATAACGTGGGATGGGAAACTGAACAATGGGCAGAATTAACTCATTTTAGATTTTTCTTTTAAAGAAAAACAATATTTGGCTGAAAAAGGAAGAACAAAAGTGGCTAACAAGGAATTTAAACCTGTGTTACGAATAAAGAGGTGGCAAGTGAATACCTAGCTACCTTTAATGAATTCAGGTCATGAGGGCTGGATTTACTTCATTTCTGGAAACTAAAAGAACTGTCAAGTGTGATCACACAGCCATTGTCCATCATCTTTGAAAGATTGTAAAAAATGGGAGACCTTAAGACTGGAGAAGGTCCAGTGTCCTGATTTTCAAAGAAAGGAAGAAGAAAGAACCTGTAAATTATAATAAACTAGTGAATTGAACTTGAATTCCTGAAAAAATCTATAATATACTGTTAAAGATATGATTTTAAGCCTTTGGAAAGGGAAATAATTAAAAGCCATTATAGCTTCTGATCATGCTAAATTACCTTCATATCCTTTTCTGGCAGGGTCATTAGACTGGTAAATCTAGGAAATATTCATTCAAATTCTCAAATGTATTTGTGGTCTCAATGATGTGAGAATCTCCTACAAACTAGCCTTTCCTCTGTTCCTCACACCTGGCAGTGTCTTTTGTTCTGACAGTCCTCCGTTTCTGAAATATATCCTCTCCTCATCTCTGCCACATACAATCCCTCTATTCCTTCACATGCATGTACAGCCTAACAACTGCTAGTGTCCTCTCTTCCTAAGTACTTTGTGTTTAAGTACCTTGTATTTGTCTTTGTTATATTTATTTGGTGCATACTGTACTTATAGATGTACTTGTTTCCCTATTACAATGTAAGCTCTTTGAGAGTAGTGATTGTTTCATTATTAGTAGTTGTATTCCCAACATCTAGCAGGTGCCTTGCATATGGCAGGTGTTAAGTGGATGCTTATTGATTGGTTGATGATGCGGTCCACAATGTATTCCTGACTATTCTGTGGGACTCTTGCTAATGTCTTCCAAAATTTCACTACAGAGAGTCCATCCAACATGATGGAGCCTCCCTCACTTTTTCTTGACATCCTGAGTACATGAGTACAGTATATAGGCTGTATAGCATTTAGTGTATTCTTTACTCTTGCTTACATGATCAGACCATTTTTATATTAATCTTTTATAATTTCTTGCTTATAATATATTGCATCTTGTTCACATCCACCATGAACCTTTCCATTGCCTTTTGGGTGAGCCTCAATTTCAATTCATTGTAGACTATAGTATTCCATGAATCATAACCATATAATGTAGTATTAGTGGTAGACAAAAATATAAGACAAAGTTTCTCATGCTATTCTCATTGACAAAGTGAAGTGATATGGACTAAACAATTGTATAGTTAGGGTGAATTTGGAACTAGTTGACTCACTGAATGTGAAGATTTGTCATTAGTAGTTCAATGTCAACTTGAAAGTCTATAGTGTAATGTCCCAAGGATTTGTCCCTAGAACAGTGCTGTTTAACATTTTCATCAATGACTTGGACGAAGGTATAGATGATATTCTCATCAAATTTACATATGTCATAAATCTGGGAGTAAAAGCTAATTTGTGGGTTACAGATATAGAATCTAAAAAAGGTCTCAGTAGGTGAGGATGTGATATAATAAAGAAATATGTAAAATCCTACATGGGGATTCAATATCTCAGTTTAACAAGTATAGAAAAGGAGAAGTGTAGTTATGAAAGGGTTCATGTGAAAGCAATGTGTGGGTTTTATTTACCTGCTAATTCAATATGAGTGAATAGTTTGATGCTTAAATACTCAAATGGATTTGTAGTTTCATTAAAGTAAATATTCCCTTTAAACATATGGATCACAACCCATCCATTCTTGTCCATCCTATATGACTCTTACCCATGTCCTTCCACAGGTTTCCCTCAGTGATTTTCCCAATGTGCTAGGGACGTTCAAAATTTTCTCTCCACATTTTAAGACTATGAATGGAGAATATGGACCATCCATTTTTTATCTCTCTCTCTCTTGCTATATGACCAGAACATCTCTGGGTGATAATCACCTCTCAAATTTTTGTACTGTAGCATTCCATTCTCATAGCCTAGACAGCAACATCAGAAGAATGATATTGTGAGAAATATTGGCCTTTGCTTCAAAAGTTTGGAGTCATTAAAATAACTCCACAATTTCATGAGGGTGGTGAGAGGTCAAGAGATCATGTCATATTGGCATTGGTAAAAAGGAACTGGGAATGTTTGACCTGGAAAAGAGAAGATTTAGGAAGAACATGATACTGACTTCAAGTATTTAAAGGGTTGTCATGTGGGAAAAAGTATAACCTTCTTCTGTTTGGCACCAGAGAGTGGAACAAGAAATAATGAATGGAAGTGGCAGAGACAGATATCAGTTTCATACAAGTAAAAAAAAAAACCCTAACCATTGGAGCTACTTTAAAGTGGAACAGGCTGACTTCATAGATAGAGATTTACCCCTCATTAGAAGTTTTCAAACAAAGGTTGGATGGATGACCACTGCCTCAATATGTAGGTTGGAGATAGGAGTTGCAGGATGGTACTTCTCTAAATCTGAGATTTTGTGATGACTTTTTCTTAAAGATCATCTAGAGCAAACCCCTTATTTTATAGGTGAGGAAGTTATATTTCTTTTCTGAGATAGTAAGTTCCTATTATTTTCTCCCCATCATGTCTTCAGGAAAAAATCATCACAAAAGTCATCTTGTTCCAAAGGACTCATTAGTAGAGAAAATTTCTCATTTGTAGCTTCAGTATGAACCTGAATTGGAAAAGAATTGATGTATTGCTTTGGATGGAACCTGGGTATTTCAGTAAAGTAGGCAAATATAAGAAGCATGAGTTATCTTGTCTCTCAACTCTTTCCTTTTCCTAAACTTGACACTAAGCAAAAAGATTACAGAGCTCAGTTATGCTAGAGGAGGCTAGGAAATTCAGGGGGTAATCATAATTCATTTGAACTGATAAATCTTAAACAGGTGAATCTTCATAATTTGCTTTATACTTTTTCTTTTCTTCTCTTTTTTTTTGGTGAGGTAATTGAGGTTAAGTGACTTGCCCGGAGTCACACAGCTAGTGAGTGTTACGTGCCTGAGGTCAGATTTGAACTCAGGTCCTCCTGACTCCAGGGCCGGTGCTCTATCCACTGTGCAATTTACTTGATTCTTACTGAATATTGCTAATACAATTCTCATTTGACAAAACAATGCTTTTTACCTAGTAGGCTCTTAATGAATTTTTGTTGAATGATAAGGGACAGCCAAAGTGCTTAGTGATACTAAATAATTAATAGAAGTACAAGGCAACTATGACCTACCTGGGTTAAAGAATGCACTCCATCCACAGGCAGATGAAACCCCATTCCCAGAGTTTTAATAACCACCAGAATATTTAATAAGTTTTCTCTGGAAGAAATAGAAGAGATTTCAAAGTCAAGTACACAGATTATATTTATGTTCAACAAAGGTTCATTGTGGTACCCCTTTAAATATGGGATGTTGGAGAACAGTATTGGAGCTCCTAATTGTCAGCAGCAAATAGGGTAACTGCATAGTATTAGAGTATTGCCAAACATAATTGTTTTTTGTTAGGCTCATGATTGGACATATAATGTGCTTGGATTTGCAGAATGACTTTTTAAAAAGATAACACTTATGGAGCACTTGAAGGTTTATAAAGTGCTTTACATGTTATCTTATTTGAAATTTTCAACAATCCTGGGAAGTAGTTGCCATCTTTATACCTATTTTACAGAGGAGAAAACTGAGGAATAAAGGTTTAACGACTTGCCAAGGTCACATAGGTATCAGTGTCCCAGATAGGATTTGAACTCGGATCTTCAACTTCATTACTCTATCTACTGTGCCACCTAGCTGCTTTGCTACAATGGGCTTCTATTGACTTCAATGCTTCAAAAATCTTTGTTTTGTCAACATGAGTTCTCCCTCACCAGACATAAAACCTACTGGATGACCTTCAAGAGTTCCTGTACCCAAAAAATGTCCATCAACCTGGACTGGTGATAAGTCTCTTTGAACCTATGAAGGCTATTGCTCAGGCAACAGGCAACAGTTCTTGACTGGGCCCAATACTTTCTGGCTTGCTAAGACTTGCCAAAATGTTGCTAGCACGGCCTTCAAGAACCCAGGGTTACCTCCATGCCTTGAAGGCTACTAAAGTAGGTCATGTTAGGCCCATGATTTGATTTCTAATACATCCAAATATGCATTATGGTAAACTTTTAAAAATAAAATTCTAGAGTATCTAAACATAAAAAAAACCCTTATGAAACTTCCCTCTCTCCTCTGATATAGCCTAGTACAAGGACTCATCACGTCACACCTGGACTACAGCAGTCGCCTTCTGGTTGGTCCTTCCACTACAAGTCTGTCCCCACTCTAGCCTATCCTCCTCCACTCAGCTAGCAGAGTGATATTCCTAAAGTGCTGTTATGACCCCATCGTTGTCCCCTAACCCTGGTCAAATAAACTCCAGTGGCTCCCCATTACCTCCACTATCAAATATAAAATCCTCTGTTTGACCTTTCACTTCTTTTCCAGTTTTCTTACACTTTACTCCCCTCCATTTTATTATCCACTGACCCTGGCCTCTGTTGTTTGTCTCACAAGATGCTCCATATTTCAACGCCATGGATTTTCACCAGCTGTTTCACTTGCCTGGAATGTTCTTCTTCCTGTCTTCCTTCAAGTCTTAGCTCAAATTTTGATTTGCAAAAGGCTTCTCCAGGTCCCCCTCAGTGCTCCTGACATCTACACTGAATATATCCTTTATCTACATAGTTGTTTCCATGTTGTCTTCTCCATTTGAATGCAAACTCTTTGGGGACAGGGACGGTTTTTGCCTTTCTTTGTATCGCTAGGGCTTAGCAGACTGTCTAGCATATTATAAGTGACTAATAAATGCTTGATGACTTAAGTGTGTGCCTACATCAAATTAAATCTTTTTCTTGAAATCACATCTTGGTCAAACTGCTTTACCTCAAAGATTCCTTTTTTGCACAGAAGAGAACATAGAAATATTTTGTTTCAGAATATTACCTCTTCAAAACCTTGTGAATAATTTGTAGGTGATTGGAATTAAGCCATTGAACACCACCAACAACTAATACAGTCTGGTCTGTGTTCTCAAGTGGATGTGATCTGCAATCCAGAAAGAAAAAAAAATCACATATGTTGCTTTAAAACAGATGGTAAACATTTTAACAGAACTGCATTACATTTCATTGAACCATATTTGGCATCCTGATCAGAAGACCCGCTTGTCATTTCCTACTATTTCTCAGCCACATCATTGGGATCCTGAGCTTTTCAGCACATTTGGCAGAGAGTACGTAACAGTGACTAATTAAAGCTGCCAGTCAGATATATCTGTTACTAGGGAGGACACCAACAAGTCAATATATCAAGGCTTTATTGTACCTTTGCAAAAGTTGTTCAAGAGCTTTTTCAAATGTTGGCCTTTGTGAAACACTGATCCAGAATTGAGGATAATAGGAGTAACTGATGAATGTTCTGCCATTGTTGACATTGTAGTATGATTTAATGCTGTGCACTTTCTGCCATTCCTGCAGGGTTTCATTGAGTCTTTCAATCAGATAATACATTATTCCTCTGTTGGTTGAATCTCCAATGAAAAGGACCTTAAAATTAAAAACAGAAAAACATGAATTTTCAGATCTGATGTTTATGTGGCATTCTGTAAACAACTCCAAATTACAAAGTTCTCTCACAACTCATAAAAATGTGTGTCTAATAACAAAGCCAAAAGAGCACTTGTGTTGAGATGTTTTTAATGTTTTGGAGCTGTGACTTTATCCCTCCTCTCCTCTCCTTCCTTCCTTCCTTCAGATCTTCAACTTCCTTTCTTCCTTCCTCCCTCTCTTCCTCCTTCCCTCTCTCCCTTCTTTTTTTCCTTCCTTTCTTTCCTTTCTCACTTTTTTCTTTCCTTCCTTTCTTTCTGGTTAAAGTTAGATCAACAAACAGGTTCCTGAGACCTAAAGTCAAATATTATTACACATTTTGCTTGCAATTATTTTGCATTTCTTTGCCAGGGCCCATAAGCCTCCAGAGACTATCACAAAAAAATTCCCTTAAGCCCTCAACAGTTAATATGTGTTAAATACAATAACTTTAGGCTATAGATGTAGAAACTGATGTATAGAAAATATGCATTTACTCTTGCCTCCCCTTACCCATATCATTCAGAAGTGAAAAGAGACAAATAGATTAAATTTCTGGAGTCCCAGGTCCATATTTCATGTCCTAGATCTCTATGTTTTTCATCTGAGCTTTGCTAAGAGTTCTGTCATTGAAGCACAGAGAAGCGGAAAGAATAGAAAGGATACTCATTTACAATGGTCATACCCTGGCCCTACTGATACCTAGCTATTTCTGTAGAGTTTCAGGAAGTATGGAAGCTTTGGCTTAGAACAATAGGAGAGGAAGGAGAGAAAAGAGATTATCTATGCATCTCTCTCTCTCTTTTTTTTTTGTGAGGCAATGGGGGTTAACTGACTTGCCCAGGGTCACACAGCTAGTAAGTGTCAAGTGTCTGAGGTCTGATTTGAACTAGGTCCTCCTGACTCTAGGGCCCATACTCTTATCACACTGCACCACATTGCTGCCCCGAGATTACCTATCTTTGAGAAGTCCTTTCTGCCAAGATACTTCCCCTTTTAATTTTTCTGAGTGGTTAAAAGTGTGTGGATTCAAGAAGAAAAGGCCTCAATTCTACTCAGTTACCACTGCCATTAGTGGTGAAGCTCCTACATTATGGAAATGTTGAGTTTCTCTAAATTCTGATTTTTAAGGTAATTTTACCTTAATTTAATAGAACAACACAATGTAATTTCAAAGAACCTAAGAGCAGAAATATCAGGGATCATGTTGTCTAATCTGTATCTGATCCCAAATCCATTTTAAAATGTGGGCAATAGAAGGTAATCCATCCTCTGCTTGACAGCCTCCAATATGGGAAAATCTACTACCTCTCATGACAACTCATTCCACTTTTGAATATCTCTAAGTAATTAAGATGTCTTTTTCATCAGGTCTAAGTCTGCCTCTTTGTACCTTCCATTCATTTTCTTCCACATCTGTCCTTAGGGGAGAAGAAGAAAATGTCTAATCCCTATCCTACATGACAATCCTTCAAATATTTGAAGACAGCTATCATACTTTCTCTTCTCTAGGCTAACAGTAAAGATCCATGGAGTGATCCATTAGAAACATAACTCCACACTGAAATCAACTTGTGAATGTCTACTTTTTGCATCTTGTGATTCAAGCATTTTAAATTCATCCAATTCTATTATTGACTAGTTAGTATTTTGCCATCTCATCCATAATGATGGCATGAGAGATTCTGTCAAATGTTTTGCTGGAATCTAAATTTATGTGTAGTATACAGCATTCTCCTGATCATTGGCCTTCATTAAAATATTACTCCAATGCCTCCTCATGGCATAGAGGTGATCATGGGTTCTCCTATCAATCTGGAGCTATGAAAAATGTGAGTCTGATGATGTGTTATATGCATGCTAAGGACTAGCTTATCTAGGTTAGGCTAGTCAACAGATGAATCCTTCAAGCCTCATCAACTCTCAAAGACCATCAGCTCTCCATAAAGGGGCTGAGATCTGTGCCAGCAGAGGGAATTCCTACTTCTTTGAGATCACGTGTTTGAAGTCAAGGGCTATTTTCTTTCAGTCCAGCTCACTTGATATTTTCTTTCAGTGCAACTATGAGAAGGCTGTTTCCATGAGGACTGCTTAAATATATATATTAAAATGTTTGTTTTGGATGGAAACATTATAGTGAAAAAACCTAGAATACAAATGCAACTGTGATTTTTGAGATTTATTATACTGAAGAAAAGTAGTTTCATTAGAGAGTAATCAGTCTCCATCAGAAAGACCTTAGGATTTTAATATTTCAATTAATTTGTGCAATAGAAAAATACAATGTGATTCTGAATATTCAAGTGACTCTTCCTATCTATATAAAATTCTTCATGTTTTAAACTTTGAATTAAAAAACAATTTGTAGCTAATTCATTTTAAAGGCCACATCCTGTATTTAAAAGATCAAATAGCCATAATGGATGATCTTAGAAGACTGGTCTGACAGTTTTTCATTAATAACCCTTATCCCCTGCCAGTTAGAAGTAAAAATTATTACTTTAAACAGGCATGCTCATTTTTCTCTTATGCAAGCTTCTGAATACCCCAAAATGTAACTGCTAAGAAAACCTCAACATTTTAAGATCTTGAAGAAAATGTTGTATTTATTAACTGTATTTGTATCTACTTCCCTCTTTCCCCCAGCTTTCCCATTTGTAGTAGCTTAATTTAGCTACGAGGGAGTAAGCATACTATGTGTTCCATCATAGACCTGGAAGAGACTATAGGGTAGGTATCACTTAATTCAATGCTCTCATTTTACAAATGAGGAAACTGAGGACTAGAGATGTTTAGTGACTTGACCCAGCTTTTATAGACTAAATAGCAGAATTCAACACCAGAATCCAAACCCAGGTCTTGTGACTCTAAAGTCAATGCTTTTACCACTATAGCATAAGCTTCTTTGGAGAAAACTTTTTACAAACTTGGTTGGACTGGTTCTTGGCCAGTGGACCCACAGTTCATTACTGAGTCCATATCTGAAGACTTTCCAGCTTGATAGGACCTTTTAGATCTTGCATTTCAGTTTGTACTATAGCTCTTAGGGACCCCAGGGTCATCTATTTGCCACAATGAAGAAGGAGAGTAGGATTTTGATGAAGGATAACAACAACAACTATTCCCTCAAACTTGTTATCATGTGAGGGGGGAGAGGGAGAAGCAATAATTAAGTAAGGCAATTCCACCAATGGTAATGGACAATGGGGACCTTGAGACCACTACAGTAGTTGTGAGGGTCTTTCAGAAATTTAGAAACACTTGCTAATTAGACCCTGATGATATGACTGATTGGGTTAGCATGCTGGCCAGTGTTGTGAAACTGATCCTATGTATCTAAGAAATTGATGGCATAGGGTTGCAGACTGGCCCTACTCAAATTATTGTGATGAATAAATTTGACATTGAGGACAGTAGAATGAGTGGCGTTCAGTGTTCTATTGGCACAAGAAGGAAGGATATAATGGGGACAAATAAGAAATTCTAGTACCATATCCAACCTACTAGAAATGCTTCAGTGTAGATGACACCATCTGTTAAAGAAGGTAAAGCAGGAAAATAAATGTAAGGGAATTAAGGCATGGATATTTTCATTCTGCACAAGTATTATGTCATAGCAAAACCAGAAACAGATCTCTTTAGTTATAGGCAAGGGCTTCATAGTGCTTTTTGTCAATAGCACTCTCAGCTCTAAATCACACAGCAGCATGTTACCAACTAATGGAGGACAATTAAAAACACAAATAAAAAAGAACTTCATCCCTCAGCCTAGATTGGACAAAATGAAAAATGAAAGCAAAGAGTTACTAGAATCTAAGGAGGGAAAAGCTGAAGAATCTGAACATTCAGGTTTGGAACACTGAGAACCTTCATTTAATGCAAACTCTAGAAACAAATATTTGATCATGAGACATACCTTTCTTACCATAAGGAATAATATACAACACCTCCAAATATAGACCAATTTATGTGTTTGTGTATTGTATGAAAAGAATTCATGTCTTTTATCACTAAAACTTCTACAAATACATGCAAAAATAAAATACAGGCTGAATACCAAAAAAGATATAGCCAAAAGCCCCAAGGGTATAAAGAATAACTTAGTATAGTTTCAATAATTATTGAATAAATTTTGAAAATGATCCAACATTTATACTGTCATTGTTGATTATCACAAAGTCTTTGATTCAATTTTTCATTCATATACTGCAAATTTATAAAGTAGAGCCAAGAACAGCAAAAGCATTGGAATATTTGATGTTCACTTGGAACGCTGTTTTCTATTTAGAATACCTCACCAATACAATATTATAAAGAAAAAATAAAAGCTAGCTTTTTTTTTGTCCCTCAGAGAGACAGTTAAAACCCACTTTGGTTCTGCTTATCCTTAGATCCATTATCGTCTCTTAAAGAGATATTGGTTGGTTTCCAAGTTAAAGATGAAGTCAAAGCAAAACATCTTATTAACTCACTTGATGTATATGGATGCCATCAAGCTATATGGTTCTACCAAAGACAATGCATTCATCAGCTCTTTTGTCTTGTGGAATCTTTCTCCAATGATATTAAAAAATTTATTTGGACTCAACAGGTGCAAAATTCTTAAGGTATGTCAAGGAAAGACAATGATTGAAGAATCTGAACTTGAATCTGGGAGTCATACTGAACCAACAGAAGAAGGCAGCACCTACAAATACCTTGGTATCTTCCAGGTAAGACACAGCATACATAAAGAAATCAAAGAGATGGCTATGGCCAAATATGTTGACACACCTACTGGCATCCTAAAATCAAAGTTAAATGGGAAGAACATGCTTTAAAACAATTAACACCTATATGATACCAGTCATTGTACACTGCTACAAATGTAAAATAGATCATAAAAGCTTGTAAAATATCCTCATAAAACACTGTATAATATTAATGAAACACAAAGCTCATAATTCCAAGGCAACTTTAGA